TAGCATAACGTTAGCATTTTGCTTCTGGCGACTAGATTTATGATTAAAAAATTATAAAAGTAGGGTTGACATGTGGAGATTATCCGGCTGAACAAAACGTGATCCCTCTCTTAAATGTGTGTCAACCACAGACCTTATTTCGAGCTATTTTCCAAAATCCTATGGAGAATTTGCATTGGTTTTTGACGAAGGAACCAGAAGAAGTTTACTTCCGGGTTTAAGGACGCGTCACTGCGGCTCTCTATTCAAAGCCACAGATACATTATTAACCTATGAATCAAACGATTCAGCCGCGTTTTTCTCTCGTTTTAATGCCATTGAACACATCTTTTGATCAGATTGACAGCTACGGTGAGACGATCTCCCGTAAAAGCTCTGTAAAAGGTACGTGTTGTGATGTCTGTGTTTGCTTCTCCTGTCGCGAGATCGGATCGCTTAGTGATGATACTATACTTCAATAATCTGTGGAGTCTCAGCTTTAATCAGATATATTGTATGTGCAGTTTCGATAAGTAATAAGGGTATCTTTATTTTGAATTCTGTGCTAAAGTGCGTTAGCATTTAAAAAAAAAAAGAATAAAACCGCACGTCCCTGCGGTGTGAATATCGCGCATGCGCATATCGCGGTTATCGCCATGACACGATATATCGTTCAGCCCTAATTTAAACGATAGTCAAATGAAACCTCTTGACTACACACAGGTGATCCCCATTTAACTAATTATGTCGCTTCTAAAACCAATCAGCTGCACCTGTGAATACTTTTTATGTGTATGACATCAGATGGTCTTTCTTTGTTGATGTCAGTAATGCCGTAGAACAAATAAAACATGAACACGTCCAAAAAGGTAAACACTTTTTTTATAGGAACTGTATCTACTTCACCCTTTAAAAATAATTAGATATAACATGGTCTAAATGATAAAAGATGGGTTACATGCATTTTTGCTACTAAACATCCCCTTAGGTCAGCAGTGAATGCATTATCACATGGTGTCATTTAATGTAAGTGCATTAGGAAAGACCATTATGCAATTAAACACCAGTTCAGGGCGCCTCCTAAATGTGACACAGTGCTTCAGGGGAGAAGCCCCATCCCGATGAACTGTGACCCTGGCATTTTACTACCCTTCACAAAAGAATATACGGAGTAGGGATATAGGGAGTTCTATGCAGATACATTTACGCAGGTGACAACCGCAGGAGAGACATTAAAAGAGGACATTAATCAAAGCATGCGTGACAGCGGAAGTACAGTTGCCTTTTATAGTGTGCTTTGTTGTAAAAGCTCATTCCGAGTCGACACGTTGAACTCCTGAACCTACTGTGTAATTAGGACTGTAAAATGGCAGGGAGAAAAAGCATTGGAAGGTAATTCCTACTTGCGAGAGGGAGCATGTGTGTGTATGTGACTGTGTAGTGGAGTGAATGAGAAGAAGTAAGAGAGAGAGAGGTAGTGTCTGTGAGATTTATCCATATCTGGCAGCACTCAGCGGTGGCCTTTAGTCGGCAGAAATGACAACCAGCTCTATCTTGCCCTGCAGACAGCAAGAGAACTGAGCACTGTCTCCCAACTCTTACGTTTGTTCTTCCCACCTTTCTTTTTTCATCATGTTTTGTACATTATACAGTATTTGAGATTTTGTTTTATTTTCCAACACTTTCAGGTTCAATTAAATATTCCGTTTGCCCAAGACCACTGCAACGTTTTGCAGAATGCTTTGCACTTGCCCTGATTGCAATGCAAGTTCCTACAACGATCCTTAATCTGATAAACACTTAATTCATTGAACTGGCCCATTTCTTTAAAGTCCAAACTGGAGTAGACATTCTCTTTATCCATTCATGACATAGTCCCAAAGACATACATGGGTGCGGAAAGTGGCCGTGGTTAACTGGGTTAAAAAAAAACTATACAAGCATCCTGGCATCATGCACAATATTCTGTCCTGTGTCTTGTTCCTTTGGTGGTCAACCACTAAAATACTTATTTATTTCTTCCGCTTGCAAACAGTTGTTATTCTTTAGGAACGTGAGCTATATTCCTTAAATCTTAAAATAATAGTATCACAACTGTTAATATTTGTAGACACATTCACACAACCAAAATAAATATCAGGCATTTGTTTTAGTTCTTTATTAAAATCATCTTTTTTATTTCTTTCCTGCTTGCAGTGCAGCACAATATTGTCAAAATTGTCCCGACAGGTGGCAGAAGGCTGAATCGGAGGGGTAGCAGCACTACCACCCTAACCTGTGTGTATGTGTGTGTGCGTGTGCCCATGTAAATCTGACAGTGTATGCATGTTTGTGTGTTTAATGTGCCTGTGAGAGGTTATGACAATACAGTGTTGCACCACTAGCCATCATCCCGTACAGTCAATACAGCAGTATTAATACAAGGCCTTGAGACATTGTTCAGAGGTGTAACAGGCAGAAACTGTGGATGTGTTTCCACTGCAGGCTAAAACTGGTCTTACCAGGGCTCAGGGTTGAAGAATTATTCATCTTTGACCATACTGACTTATCAATGTATCATAAGCAAGCAATGGTTGGACAGGAGGATGGATCTCTTATCTCAGGCAGTGTTTCCATGTTCCACTCAATGATGTGTGCAGGATCATTGTTGTTTATTCAGGAATAAAAGTGGCGAAAGGTTTGAAGATGTGATAATAAAAAGAAAGCCCTGGTTAGGCAATTTTTGGCCTTAGTGGAAACCATACTAGCAAGCAGATTTAGCCCTACCCATATTAACTTTTAACCAGTTTTGTAAAATTAAGAAAGAAACAGTGTGTCTGTTGTGTATAATTTTATATAATCTTTTTTTTCTCTTTTGTTTACAGCACAGCAGCTTGGCAGATACAACACACTATTTACGTATATCAAAGTCCTTATGTATACTGTATAAGTTGGTCGGCAGGGGTAGCTGTGCAAGTTTTTGTATAGTATTACAGCTACTAAGAGATGCAAATAAAAAGCCTGTGCTGCTCGCTACATTGTGTTTCAAAGAGGTCACCTTACTCTACTCTGCGGTAAAAACTCTAGGGTCCAATGTAAACCCAAAACAGGGTTGAGAAAGTGACTCTTACATATGTGAGAGTTGTGGTAAAAGCTGCTGTATCCATAAAAGGTTTAATTAGTTGTTAATCCGTAGCCCCCACCAAAATAAAGGCCCCTCTAGGTAGACAAAGACACGCCACCACTGCTACAGTGACACGGTCATAAGACACTCGTGTAGTCCTCCACTCTGTCACTTTGTTGAAATCTCAGCGTCAGCTACAGTAGATAGCCAATGGAGGTGAATGGTTGGTCTTAAGAGAGCAAAAACACAGTTACATACTGGTCTCTGTTTTCACTGGGGGGTAGGGAGCTGAGAAGGAGGTTTGAGACAAGGAGAGACAGACAAACAGACAAAAAAGACATATTGATTGAGATAATACCGAAAATTTAGTAGACAAACTTAAATAACATAGCTCTTAGTGCTTTGAAATATACTATCATATATATTTAGATATGCTCTTTTTTTTAATGAAATAAATATATCCACATAGGCTATACTCTTTTTTTTTTTTTAAACTGACCAGCTTTACAATTGCAGACACGCAACAACACAGTGGAAAGACATGAGAAAAAAAGAGGCAAGGGGAGAGAAGGACATAAAGGTGGCTTGTTTCTCTGAGGAAACAACCAAGCGTTGTGTTCACACCGCTAGCAGCTTATGCTCTGCACATAAGTACAATAACATGGTGGTATGTGTACATTTTATGCCTGGGACAATGGACTTCGACTAACCATACCTGCATCATTAGCTTCGTAGGTTGGACGTGCCAAACATGCTTGTTCACTGTTGCTGTAGTGTTTCAGCAAAAGGAAATGCAACACAAATCTTCTTGAAAGATTTTAACTTGATTTTAGGTCGCAGAGATTGTTTGTACTTGAGACAACAGACTTGAGTTGCTTGCGGTGTGAATGCACTGAAACATGTCACACTTACTCACGCTACTAAACCCTTCTTGCTTTCATGGAAAGTTGTATAAGCTTGTTATTTGCTGTTTGGAAAGCAAAGCACTGAACTGCCTCCAACTTGGCTTAATACAGTCAAACTTTGTCAAAGAAACTAAATTGATAATAATTTAACTGTTGTTAGTAAATATGAGAGCATGTGTGTTTTTAACGCATGATATTTATATTATTATTTCAATGGAAATGACAAAACATATCCCAAAATATCAAGATGTTAAACAACAATTCTCTAACACTAACCACCGCCACAAATACACATATATATATATGATAAATATATGTAGAGTTTTTTTATTTTTTTTTAAAGGCAAACAAAAACAAACAAGTTTATGTTTAAAACTTAAGTTCTCATTCTGTTTATTCAGCTGAAGTAAATTATGGCTCAGATGCAGTTCCAGGCAAACAAGAGCTGACCAAACTGGTAATGGATAGATGGACTCTAACCGACTGAAAAACACACACAGTGTTGTGCCAGAAGTTCAGGCCTCTCCATTAAAAAACTCCACTGATGTCCAGTGTCCTGATGCAATTTGAATGTTAATGGATATTAATAGCTACTATAGCTAAGATCTTTACATCTGAGTGTAACTGCTGGTGTCAGTTCGTCATGGATTAAAAAGCTATAGCTCTTAGTGACACATTTACCGGCTAAGATAAATGATTCAGAAAAATGCACAGGAGGTGATACTGTGTCTTTCATACACCATCAGCCAAACCTCTTCAAAACCAACTGCTATAGCTACCATTCAACATAGGCACGGTCTCTTTGACATCAAAACGGCATTTGCACTACATCTGATATGGCACCAATCAAAACGCTCCCTTTTCCAATCACACTGTCTTCGTAGCATGAAGCTAACCACATACATGTTGATCAAAGCACAAACGTTCATACTTTATACAAAACATATGACAGGAGCAACAAGCATAAGGCTATAAGTATTTATTTCCCTGCAACAATCTTTCACCTTGTCCAACAAAGCTGTGTAGCTACACCTAGCATGTTAGACACATTCCTACTCAAATCTTGGTAGATTAATTTTCATTGGCAAATGATTTCTGTATATTCTACTCTTGGCACTAATTGGGTTACTTGCAGGAGAAAAAAAGCAAAAAAATAATTCAAACTGTAACCCATTGCAGATGTAATCCTTCATAAGCAGAGCACTTAGCATGCTAAGGTTAGCATACCGTTGCTTACGTCAGGCTAAGTCGACAATGAACTAAAGTCAACTCTTTTTCTATCTTTTCAATTTGTCAGCCACGCTAACCATCAGAAATGCTTACATTTCCATCTCCAAGTGTTTCAATTGTTGTCGCAGCACACTTGATAGTGGCTGACTTTGCATTCAGTCAAATACAGGGAGGGGAAAAGACACTGCCTCCATTGTCATAGTTAGGTAGTTGAGATAATGTTTCATGTGCAGCTTGAGAAGAATGGCACAGTGCTTACATTGTATGATACTTAATACATGTCTTGATATATAGAAAACAATCAATAACAACAACAACAACAACTACAACACAGAAGAAAACGTTTCAAAGTATAACATTGTAACATGAACAGAAGGTGAATTATGTATTGCTCTAGAAAGAGAAAATATGAATTGACTTGCACTTTTCCTTGCATGTTCATGTATGCTAGTGTTTGTGTGCACTTTAAGTGTGCGAGTGTGTATTTGCATGTTCGCGGATTTAGGAGATGATGAAAAACTGCGAGATAAAAAGGAAACAGCTAACATTGTACAGATTGATGTCGAGTTCTACTTAAGTTTGGCACTCAGCTTTCATTAAGCCAGTAGAATATCAGTCACAGTTGACTTACCCTGTTGTCAAGAATACAAACACAGAAAAAGCACAGACACACATAATCATCACATCAACGAGAGGAGCCAAGAGGGGAGGACAGGAGAGGACATGGCAAGAGAGACGAAAAGACAGCTTTGAAAAAGGTAGTAAGGAAAGGGACGTAGAGCAGAGAAAAGAGAAAGCAAGTGAAAATAAGGGGGGGAAAGGAGAATAAAGGGGAACAAGAAATGGTAGAACCAAAGAGACAGGAAAGGGTGAATAACACAGAGAAGACAAGGTGGTTATCACCCTCCTCTCCCTCAAAACTACAAGTTATTGATCAAACACAACAATGGTGCCTCAGAGGGTGTCACAGTTCTGCGGGGGTGTAAACAGTTTCTTAAGGAAAAAGAAAAGCAGTTGAAAGCGACTTGTTTCAGGGAAAAATGTAAGAAGACGGTTCTGTGTTAAAGGCTTCCGAGAGCAGCAGGCATACAGTACTACAAAGTTCCTGAGCCCTCAGTAAGCATTGAGAATCCTCAGAATACAAACTACGCTGCTTCAACATCCAAAGACCTTCACTGTATATAGCAAAGGAGTCTCTTTCAGTTGTACCACTTTTAAAGTCAGATTTGCTTTTTAGTGTAATTGGTTGATTATCCAGTTCAGGATGCAAGTTGTTGCTGTGGTTGCAGTCTTTCACATACTGAGAGGAATGAAAGGAAACAAGAGTAAGTACAAGATTTCTCCTGTTTTCCTTTGACTACCGCATAGGATTTGTTTGGCTTTCTGGTTTGTTTGTGCAGAGCTTTAGGAAAGGGCACAGTGCGTATACTGTTCTGACTTGGCCGTGCAGCCATGTTTGCTGTAGGGCAGATTCAGATCACCTGCTTAGCCTTAGCCCTTTCAGGGCTCTTATGACTTTTGATATTCACACCTCGCTCTCCACGCTGGAGAACTGGGCTGAGCCCCTTCGCGAGCAAAGGCTCTTGGCTTTGAGGGGTAAGTGAGGAGACTGAGGAAACCTCTGGGGCTGGGGAACAGAGCGCAACCTCTGATACTGTAGTTTGGCACTTGCCGAAGCCATGGAAGAGGGTTGGGGGGCCCCTGGGGTTGATGAGACCACAGAGGGAGAGGATACAGAAGAGGAAGAGGTAGGGAGAGGAGCATGGATAGGGTGAGAAGAAGACGGAGGAGCTGGAAGGGCAGGAAGTGGGGGTGGCAAGTTCGGTATGAGGTTCGGAGGTGGGGATGATTGTCGTCCTCGATCTCGATCCCTATCTGCTCTTTGTGTCCTCTGTTGGATATTGAGGTTTGACTGGCTGCCAGATTTGGATGGATTCTGTGAGCGATCAAGTTTGGTGGAAGCTGAGGAGTCATGTTTAGGCTTCAGTGGGCCACCAAATCTCTGGCGGTACAGCTCTTCCTCACTACGTGAGGTTACCCGGGCCCATTTGGAGGATTGGGGGTGCGGATGGTGTTGGGGGGAATGACAGGAGGAACAACCTGCGCGCCCTCTCCCCTTGTCCTTGGACTTGCGTTTACTCTTCTTCTCATTCTGAAGGTGGAGTTTGTCGACCGACCAGTATCGTCGGGGGAGTGGTGGGGTGAGAGGAGGCGGGGGCCAGTGTGATCCAGACCCCCACCCTCTATCTACTCCTTCTCCTCCACCACCGCCACCTCCACCAGACCCCCATCCACTTTCTGCCGTCCCCCACCTCTCTCCTCTCTCCAAGAACAGGTCATCTCTACTTGTGATGCTGCTGGCTTTTTCCCTGGAAGGGTAGGTGCTAAAAAACCAACCTCCCCCACCAATACCTCCTACCGCTCTGCCTTCATGATCCTCCCAGTACCTCTCAAACTTCCCAAACTCTCCTGAAGAACCATCATCATCGGAATATATCCCGACTACCTTATCACGTTCTCGCTCTTCATCGGACATTGTCCTTCCTCCTCCGTGTCGCCTCTTTCCACGTTCGGCTTTCCTCCTCTCCAGCTCAGAATCTTCTTCTTCCCCCTCTACTCCAGACTCCCACTTGTGGAAAGATAACCCCTCCTTGGAAACCATCTCAGCTCTTCCGCCCTGTCCCAGCAATGGCCTCCTCTCTCCTTCGATTCCTACAACATCCCTGTCTGAACTTTTACTCTTCCTCCTGTTAGAGCAGACAGGCAACAAGGGCAGAAAGGCAGATGGAATGGTGTCAGAGGATGGGTTGACCCCTCCCCAGAATTTGACAGATGTCGAAGGTTTACTGCTCGAACTTTGATAGTGCTTGCTGTTCCTTCTCCTGTTTGGTCTTTCTTTCCCTCTGCTGTCTTCCCCATCATTCCTCTCTTTTTCTTCTCTTTCCTTCCTCTCCTCTTCACCTGGGATGTTCCATCCATAGCTTCTTATTGAGCTTTCACTTTTTTTCCGAAAGGATTCTCGCCTCAAGGGTGGGTATGATGGGTAATCTGGTGTCCCTGATTTGAGTTCTTCCCTTTTTTCAGGATCTCCCCCCTCCTGCTCTGACCTCTTCCGCTCTCTCTTCCTTGTCTTGTCCTCTTTTTTCCTTTTCTTAGCTTTGCGCCGCTTGCGCTCCCGTTCTCTCTCCCTGTCCTCCCTCTTCTTCTTTTTCCTGCCTTTCTTCCTCCTCTTTCTCTCACGCTCCCTCTCTTTGTGGTGTCTCTTTTCCTCTTTGCCCATTCCTCCTTCTCCCCGGCTTGTTGTTCCTAACCTCACACGCTCTCTATCTCCCCATGATGCCCACCACTCCTGTAATTGGGCCAGTTGGCTGCCGGTTCTCTCTCTGCTCTCTCTGCCGCTATCTCTCTGAGTGCGTGGTTTGCGGGGCGGGACTGGCGGAGGTGGAGGGCTGCACGGCAGCGAGCGTGATGACATGCGACGAGAGCGAATCTTCCTCCGTGTACCGAGAAGGAGGCTGGACTCCTCTGTAAGCAGATCTGAGTCACAATCGTCATCCACCGTAAGTTCCCTGTCGCCAGCACGATACCGAAAACTCAATGACGAGTTGTAGGAGCTGTCACTGGAGCAGGACGAGGGGGAATTCGACCGAGACAGTGAGACAGATGATGAAGAAGAGGATGAGGATGATGTAGCGGAAGAGGAGGATGACGAGGCACTGGAGCCGGATGAGTAGAAACGGCATGGGGAGGAGGGAGTAGTAGGAGTATGTGTTGGGGAGGAGAGAGGAACAGGCAGAGGAGGAGGTGCAGGAGGACGTCGCCCTCTCCTTCCACCTCCATCACTTGCACCATACCTCCCACCTCCTCGTCTCCCTAGAGGGAGTATATTCTCATACAGGGGACCTCCAAAGCTTTTTCTCCTTGCCTGTGCTAGGCTTCCTCGTCGCCAGAAAGGAGGTCTTCGGGGGGAGGATGGGATCAGTGGAGGTGGCTGGGGGATTAAGTGCCCTGGTCCCTGTTGGGGGACTTTAGAAGGCATCCTTGGCATCCCTGAGGCTTTGGGGCCTCGAGGATTAGCTTTAGGAGTCTGCTGGGGTCCCCCTGCCTGTTTGTCAGAGTTAGCCCCTAGCCCCTCTGGATCTATCGGACCATAGTAGCGCTTATATTCATCTAGCCCTGTGTCACCTCCTCCCCCAGCTCCACTTGCAACTCCGCCTAACGGGTTCCAGTGCTGTCCAAGGTTCGCCTGATAGTGCGGCACCTGAAGTTCAGTGATCCCTCCTGCTATTCCCCCAATACCAACTCCTCCACCACTGCTAACACTCATGACTTTCTCTGGCTTTGGCCTGTTCCAACGATCAACCACCGCTAGTCTGCGGTCATGGCGAGGCAAGAAGGTGGAGCAGGGCATGGGGCCTTCCAGCAAGGGACTGTTTGAGGGTCCCATAGCCATTGCTGAATGTCCTGTAGTTTGCGGTGATCCGGGGAGCATGGTCGTATAGGTCGGCCCCTGTTGCTGGTGGTGCTTCTGTTGCTGTTGCTGCTGCACCATGGCAATGGCAGTCGTGTTATTTATTGTGGCTGTTACAAGGTGTTGTTGGGCAGCAGTAGACATGGTGGTCATGGTGTGGTATTGAGGCAAAGAGCCACCTCCAGGTGCTGTCTCATCCTCAAACTGGCAACAACTGTACATCCCCTGGGTGGAGAGATGAAAGAGAGATCATAATTACACCATAGGTCTGCCAAGAATGATAAGGAAGATTGGAGTGAGTGTATGTGTGTGTGTTTGTGACACAGAATGAAAGGTCCTGTTATTCCTAATTCTAACTATACACAAACCAAATGAAACATATCCTCAGCCTTTACCAGTTGTGTTAAATATATCCAGATCTTCAGATGCACTTAACAAATAACTTGTACTATTTGTATGTCTCATTTATTATGGAAGTTAGGTTAACAATAGTTAGTAGCTGTTAAACACAGGATAATGGCAATATTTGGAGTCATTATATAAGGATGTGATGTCTGATTAAAAACATGCATGGATAAAGCCTCCAGATAAAGAATATCTGTTAAATTGCTATAATTACCTCACCAAGGATCCCTTAAAACCAGTGACGTGTCCACATCCAGATAGGTTTGACTTGTCAGGGCTACAACTTATATATTTTTGTTTATTTCTCTCCACCCTAATTTATTTTATATTTATTCAGTTAATTCCATAACCGACTGTGTTACTTTGTCTGCAAAACATATTTCATAAATAAAATAAAGAAATACTCTTTATTCTATCTAACAGCGTTCTGGGAAATTGCTCAAGATAGTTTCCCTCTACTTCTGGGGTGTTTCTCAATGTCGAGTACGCTTGCCTGGTAGCACATGTCTTCCAAGCGTCTTGCTTCA